CTGCTCCCGGCCACCGCAGCCTCGACCTGCTGGGCTCCGGCAATCCTTCCACCTCAGCCTTCCAAGTAGCTGGAACCACAGGCGCACTACCATGCCTGGCTGATTTTTTGATTTATTGTAGAGATGTGGTCTCGCCAAGTTGCCCAGGCGGGTCTCGAACCCGCGGGATCAGGCAATCCACACACCTCAGCCTCCCAAAGCACGGGATTACAGGCTGAGCCACCAAGCCCGGCTGGTTCTGAGTTCTTAAGGGGAGAAGACAGGGGTCTCCCAACACTCAGCATCCTCCCTCCCCTGGCCAGGACCCCCTCCTTTTGGTATCCCCAGCCTGTATTACAGATATGTCCTCTGCCCTGTTCTTTTGGGTTGGGGCCCCACTTGGTTTGGGGTTCTGGCAGTGCCTTTGGAAGGATGTTGCGTCTCACCCACCTGCTCTTCCCCTACATTCTCAGTCAGCCCTCTCTGTTCGACCCTCCCCAGCAAGACTTCTGGGGTATTCAGGATATGGGAAGTCAAACAGCCCAGGCTGTGCCCACAGTCCTGGCTGGAGAGGGCTCTCCTTGGGCCTGGCAGTACCTCCAGATCCAAGTCTTGAGATGGAAGGTGCAGTGGGCTAAGCCAGGCCTTGGCATGGGAGCCTGGACAGGATGGCCTAGGGACCCCAGGGATGTGCCTGGGAGGGAGGAAGCTGTTACTTACAACTGGGTCTGGAAGACCACAACCAGGATAGAGAAGGCGACACCCACTGCCACACCATACGGCAGGCTCAGGAAAAAGGAGGAGAGGAAGCTCACCACCCAGACACACTGTGAGGAAAGAGATGTCAAAAGCAGGCCTGGGAAATAACTGCTTCTTTCAGGAAGTCTTCCTGGAATAGCCAAGGTCATCCTCTGCGTGATTACCCTCAGACCCACCCTTCCCTCTTCGTTGCATTTTTGCAACGTTTTATAATTTGTGCTTTGGTTACACTTGCCTATTTGCCTTAGATTGAATGTGGTTGCCTGATCTTGTCTGTGTTGTTAATAGAAATCTCAGCACACACAGAGGCAGCATCTATAAAGGTATGCATCTTGAGTCAGATATACCTGGTTCAAAGTTTGATTCTATAATAGCTATGTTTTTTAATCCTCAAAGAGAGAGTAATACTAATAATAATACTACCTACTTTATGAAAGAATTAAAGAATTTAGAAATGTAAAGGTCCTACCTAGTGATGGTCCTCAATGGGTGACCAATAAACGTGTACTTCCTTTCTCTGTCTAGCAGCAAGTTACATGCTATTCCTATAAGAAGACTGTAACCTGGAGCTGGGGTCCTGGTTGTGTGGCTGGGAAGTTTTTAGTGTTTTTCTGTTTGTTTTATTTTTTTTTTTGAGTTGGGGTCTCACTGTGTTGCCCAGGCTGGAGTACAGTGGTGCGATCCTAGCTCATTGCAGCCTCAAATTCCTTAGTTTAAGTGGTCCTTCCACCTCAGCTTCCTGAGTAGCTGAGACTACAGGTGCAAACCACCATGCGTGGCTAATTTAGTTTTATTTTTATTTCTGTAGATACAAGATCTCACTGTGTTGCCCAGGCTGGTCTCGAACTCCTGGCCTCAAGCGACTCTTCCATCTTGGCTTCCTAAAGTGCTGGGATTACAGGCATGAGCCACCACCCCCAGCCTGGATGAAGTTTTGGTAGTTGCCCCCTATGGACCTTTAGGATCCCACAGTTTCTCTAAAGGAAACAAACTACCCGGATTTCTGTAGAGAATTGTTGTGAAGATCAAATGAAAACACAAAGTGCTGATGAACACAAGAGACTATTGCCATAGAGGGGGATTGTTAGGATATGGTAAAAACAGATTCTTGGGCTGGGAATTGAGACATAATTTTTCTCCCTATCCTCATCACTCCCTCCCTGGGGACCCCAGATGAACCACTCCCTTCTCTGGTTTTAAGGATTTCCTTCCTTGAACCTCCCTTCCATGTGAGACAGTACAACCTACATGTTTGGAGTTCAAGCTAGAGTTCTAGTCCCAACTTTGCCACTTCCTACCTACCTGTGGCCTTCGATGATTTGCTTAACCATTCTGAGCTTTGGTTTCATCACCTTTCAGGGAGGTTAGTTAATCCTCTCTCATAGATTATGGTGGGGCTTAGATGGAGACAATGGAGTGTCGTCAATACACACCAGCCTCTCTTACGATTGTCAGTGGAGCATGCGGTGGAGTGAGTGACTAATCACAACAAGAAGTCATGTTTGCAGAATGTTTTGGTTACATGGTGCTTTCCCATTATGAGCTCATGTAATCCCCAGGACCAGGGTTTGACGCAGCCATGACTGTCACCCTCATTTACTGACAAGGAAATAGAACCCCACAGAAGTCTGGTAACTTGTTCAAGACCCTGGTCCTCTGGCTTTATGTTATAGGCTTTAAAAAAATAATAGCTATTTCCTTTTGCTTTTTTTTTTTTTTGAGCTATAAGTCATAAAACCAGCATTTTTTTTTTTAGCACAAATTAAAATCCAGACAACATATAGCTTACTTGTATTATCATATTTCTTTTCACAGAAAACCCTGGAGGGGAGAGAATAAAGTAGCCATTTCACAGGTGAAGAAGCCAAGACTCAGAGAGGCTGAGGGACTTGCTATTGGCCACAGAGCCAGGGAACAGATGAGTTAGGGTTTGAGCATAGGATGTCTCCCTCTAAAACCTGGACTCTTAACCACTCAGCTATGCTAATCAGAAAGTGGCAGATTAGAGGGTTCTTTATTGGGACAGAGCCGACAGGGCTATGGGGTTGGAGGAGGGACAGGGGCATGGGTGTGCTCAGAGGCTGCCCCACACTTACACAGTCCAGCCTGCTCTTCCTCCACAGGTAGTAGGGGTCGGCAAGTTGCTTGAGGGAGTTCTTGAGGTTGACAGCAATCAGGGCTCCTAGCACAGACTGGAGAAGCAGAACATTGCTCCAGGGCAGCTGGGGTGTCCCCTTCTTTTTGCCTTCTTACACATACCTCCCCTTGGAGCCTGGCAGGACAGAGCTGGAGTTCCAGCTGGAAGATCCCCCACATCTCTGCACTCAATCTTAGATTTGGAATGGGCTGGCGTTAGGGCCGTGGGTCCATCCTGGCCCCACCTTTGCCCTCCCTCTGTTCCCTCACCCCTAAATGGATCCTGCGCAGAGCCCTCCTAGCTGGGCTGTGTGAGTGCCTGGCACTTACAGGTACTGCCCAGGGGTTCGACTCAGAGACTGGAATTTGAGACCAGCCCTGCACCGTGAGCTTTCTCTCCATGGACAGACCACTTAGACTCTCAGGCTCAGTTTCCCTCACTTGTAAAATCTGGAGAATGCATTGTCTACCTCACAGGTTGTGATTGAGACTAAGTATGGCAATGATGGCACTCTGCAATCCGTTGAGTGCTACATAACACTCAGGGACCATTTTCACTGGAGTCTGTCGCTGTCCCCTGCTCTCTGGCTGAGCACTTACCTTGGGGAGAGGGTACAAATAGGACCCCAGCACCAGCATGGTGATCATCACTACCAGAGACACGCAAAGGCTCGCCACCTGGTCCGAGAAAAGAGTTGGGTATAGGGGGTAGGTGTGAAATGTTTGCTCTTGATTTGCTCCCAACAGATGGCTTTGGATCAAGGGGGCAGAGCTGGCTGGGTTGGCAGTGCCCAGGCTTCTCTGTGGGGCAATTTCCATCCCCACCCAACTCTGCTAGGACAGGACTCACTTGGGATTTTCCTCCAGCGCCATCCACAGCCAGAGTGACGGAGAGAGCACAGCAGATGACGTGAATTTTAAAGAAGGAGCCGAAGAAGTTGCTGCAGCCCAGGGCAATCATCTCCTGTGGGGCAAGGGCAGGATTAGAAGCCAGCACGGAGTGTGGGGATGGACCATGCATAGTCAGCCACAGAGTCAGCCAGGCAAGCTGGATCTTGGGCCTAGGACTTGAGAGCGATCCTGTGCAGTAAAGTCACATACTCTGAATCAAGAAGAGGTCTTGTCCCTGCTCCTTGCTGTCAGGCAGCGCGCCTCACCTCACCCCAAAGAGCCCCAAGATATCTTGTACCAGGCCTGTGTTGGCCATCCCACCCAGCCCTGCTGGGGTTAGCTGGAGCTACCTGGTTCGAATCCACGTCATAGCCGTGCTTGCTGGCGAGGGTCCGGCCCACAGCCAGGTTGATGACGTAGCCCACGATGGCCAGGGAGAAGGCTGTGCCTATCATGTCCTTCCACTGAGAAACCACAGGCAACACCGGAGTGGGGAACCTGCCGAGGAGCCAGGAAGGAGGCAGGGCCCAAGGGTGTGACGGGGGAGGGCAGCCGAGGCCTTTACCAGCCCACAGGGACCAGCCAGTCCCCACGGCATGCCCGGGTCTTTACCTAAGTTCTCCTATCCAGTCTGAATCCTCACTCCTGTTTTACAGTGGAGGAAGCCAAGACTTAGAGAACCTAACTTGGCCAAGGTCGCAGAGCCAGTGTGTCACAGAGGAGTCTGTTTACTTCCTGATTCTGGACACTTTATGCTCATGAGTCCAGACCTTCAGACCTCCAGCCCTCCCTCTGTCGCCTGCTCCAACTCTGCAGGACAAGCATTGCCCCTCTTCCCGTGGCCCCACATGGTACCTGGCACAGAGTGGATGCTTAACAAATTTTGTTGATCCTAATAGCTCCCTTTCTGCAGGGATAAAGAACCAATGCATTAGAGCAAGGCAAAGAGCCAGTAAGGGGCTGATCAGAGAAGCTTTGTTTAACCATGTCAGTAGACGAGCGTGGTCTTTGAGACTCCTTTTTCATAAAACAGCCAGCGTGGGCTGGTTGTGTGGCTCTGCTCAGGAAGGGTTCACATGTAGTCAGTGTCATATAGTTTACAATGCACTTTCATAGAGTTCATCTCGTCTCCTCTCTGAGCTCAGTGGGGTGTGTGATGGGGATGGGGCCAGGTTCCTGGGGCATCTGAACTCACCCATGTTGGATCTCTCCCACGATTTGCATGTGATACTTTTTGGGCATCTTACAGCCCCCGGAGATAGCTGTAGCCACCACCACCTGCAAATCCAGAGTAGAGAATGGGGACCCTAAGTTGGGGCCAGAGTAGAGATCTCTTTCAAGTGACCCTTTTCTCTGGGGTTCCCAAATTCTACTCCCCTGCCTCCCTGCTGGAGGGACAATCTGGGGAGCAGAAAGAACCACAGATAAGGGCATGGAATGGACTCCCATCTACTTTCGGTCCTCTTGGCTGCCAGTGAGGGGGTCCAGGGGAATGAGAAGGGGCTCCCCCACCCTGGCTGGAGATGGACTCCTCTTCTCACAGCCCTTCAAGTCTGGTCCTCCAACACCCCAGCTCTGGACAAGATCCTTACCACAATCATCTCTGTAGGGATGGGGAAGCGGATCTTGTGCATGTAGCGAGCATTGAGCTCCTTCACCAGCACCAGGAAGACTCCACTGATGAGGGCGAAGACCAGTGAGGCAACGTTGGTGTGGGGGAGGTTTTTGCAGATGTCAATGAAGGTCTGGGGAGACAGCATCATGCTCACAGGCTCCCACCCTTTCTTCTACCCCACCCTAGGGCACCATCAAAGTGAATGGAAGCACACCAAAGCAGAATTCAGACCCTGGTCATGAACACCATGCTGTCTTCCACCACCCTCTCTCGAAAGGCACATAGGAAGCTCATGCTGGGATAAGAATGCTTTCTTTTTTTTCTAGAAGAGTTCAAGCTAAGGGGGGAGTGATGGAGAGTAACATATAAGGAAGGAATTCCCTGGCAGGGAGAGGCTGAGGCACTGGAATGGGGGAACTGATGGAGAGTGCACATCTCCTTTTCTGCAGGGATTAATTACAGAAAACCTCAGCAAGCCCTTGAGGTGATGCATTTGACCCTCCCTCCCAGAATCCTCTCTGAACAATGGGTCAGCTAGCCCTTCCTTGAGGATATCCCATAATAAGGAACTCACAACTTGTTTTTATTTTATTTTTTTTTGAGTTTGGGGTCTCACTCTTTTGCCTAGGCTGGAGTGCAGTGTCACAGTCATGGATCAGGTGATCCTTCTGCCTCAGTCTCCCAAGTAACTGGGACTATAGGCATGCACCACCATGCCTGGTTATTATTACTATTTTTTTTGTAGAAATGGAGTCTCACTATGTTGCTGGTCTCCAACTCCTGGGCTCAAGCAATCCTCCTGCCTCGGCTTCCCAAAGTGCTGGGATTATAGGCGTGAGCCGCCAACCCTACTTATGTGTCTGCTTGAGCCCATCCCGTTTGCAGGGGCACATCTCCAGACTCACAAAGACGATGGACCCTGGGCCTGTGTAGGAGGGAATGGTCAGTCCGAAGATGTACTTGAGCACTGAGATCAGGATCTGCAGACCAGCGGCCGTCATGAAGCCCCGGATGAAGGACTCAGAGAGGTAGATGGCCACAAAGCCGAACTGCACGAAGCCCAGGCCCATCTGAGATGAGAAAGGGGGTGGTGGAAAGACCAAGATGTGTCACTGTTCCCACAGCCTGCCTGACCCAGGCCCAGACCTGGAACTCTGTGCAGCCCTGGAGTAGCAGGCACTCTGGGAAAATGAGCCCTCTGTGACCTTGTCCTGCCCTTTACTGTGTCCTATGTGCCTGCCATCAGACCTTTAGATCCTTTAGGGCATGAGCCTTTTTCTCACCTCACCTCTCTCCCTTCAGTTTCCTTGTCTCTAAATAAGACTGGTTCTCCCCCAGTGTTTCCTCTCTTACTAAATGACAACATTATTAATCCAGTTGCCCAACCAAAAACTTGAGAGTCATCCTCCCTCACCTCCCACATCCAATCTATCACCAAGCTCTGTTAACACTCCTAGAAAAAAGGTATGGAGTCTACCCCATTTCCTTCTCTGCAGCCACCTAGTCTAGACTCCCATTACTCCTGCCTGGACCTCTGCAGAATCTCCCAACAGGTCCCTGCCTTTATTCTAACCCACCTCACACCCATCATCTCTGCAGCCCAAAGGATCCTTATAAACTGCCAGTTGAACCCAAGGCCACTGCTTGGTGGACAGACTCCGGACTTCAATGTCTGACCCCTGATGACCTTTCCAGTCTTTTCTCTAGCCATCTACCCTCCAGCCACACCAAACTCTCTTACCATTCCCTGCTCTCTCTTAGGTTTCAGTGCTTTTGGGTGCTATTTCCTCTGCCTGGACCATCCTCCGTACCTTGTTCCTCTAGTTACTGATTAACTTCTACTCTACCTATCCTTTAAGATAGGTCAAGTGCCACCTCCTCTTTGAGGTCTTCCCTGGCTCTCGGTTCTGTGTTCCTACAGCTCTTTATACATAGCTCTATTCTGCAGCCTACCCCATTGCATACAAATGTATCTGTGGACATAGCCACATAATATCCAATGTGGACATTCCCCTGCCGGGCTGTGAGCAACTCGTGAACTGAGCCTCTTTTTCACTTATCTTTGCATCCTGGGTCGTAGCCCAGTTTCTGGCACAAAACATTAACTGAATGAATGAAAGATGCTTTTTGGGACTGCATCTTGCTGTTGCATTCTATCATGCTGGGTATCCTTCATAAAACCTAACAGAATCCTTTGGAGTAGCTCAATTTATGTTGTGCAACTGCTGTTGTAGCTTGGAGAAGGCTGGAAGGGGTGAGGGATGTTAGAGAAGCTAAGCAGTGTGGTGTGGAGGTCTGTGCTGGCAGAGTGGGGTTTCTCCAAGAGGTAGTGGAGAGAGGCTGCAAGTCTCTTAGACTGTCTTAAAGCTTGGGACAGTTTTACCAGGTGCAGCTGCTGTTGTTATGTTTGGTCCTGCTAGGTGCAGGGAGGAGAGACTGAAATTTCAAGACCCTCTTTAGCCCTGGGTTGGGAAGGAGTGGAAGGTAGAGTACTAAACTAGATTTAACATCAAAGCTTGGGCTTTGAGGCAGGGGTAGGGTTGTCTGATGCCCTCCCGGCAGTATTGAGGGCCGTGCCCCTCACCTGGATGATGGCGGTCAGGCAGGCTAGCGTTGCTGACACGTGCAGCCTCTCTGCTTCCATGGCTGCCGTGTCCACATAGCTCTCATTGGTGGCATTGTTGAAGACCTGGAATTTCGACTCTGGGGCCAGCTGCAGACAGATGTTACCCACCAGGATGCTGATAACCGCAAAGGTACCTGTGGTGCCCACCCAGCCAGCAAAAATCAGAGGTTTGGACCACGCCCATGGAAATCAGACAGGGACCCAGGAATGCTTCCCGACCCCTAGGGGAATGGACTCCCACACTTCCAAGGCTCTTCTTCAGCATAATAGCAATTGTTCACATCTAACCATGATCTACGCATTTCAAGAAGCTTTCACTTCAGTGGTCAATATTATCTCCTTGGACCTGTGAGGAAATGAACTTAGAAATACAAGCAGAGCCTAAATCTGAAAGCAGCCCTTGTGACCAGGCTTTTCTCCATCTTGCTTAGCACTGGAGGAGTCCAGTTGCCTTTGCAATGGCCTGCAGGGACCAGTCCAGGAGTGAGGTAGTAATTTTTCACATCTGTTTAGCCCTAAATAGCATACAGTGTATCTTGTTCTGCCAACATATGATCTAGCTTGTTCTGTCTTCCTCTCATTCTAGGGAGGGAAATGGAACAGGGAATACTAACTGAGCTCACAGAGGTAGTTCCTCCAAGGTCACCAAGCACCTGGGACTGACTTCCTTCACAGTGACCTTCCTCTAGGACTGACCAGCACCAACTCTAGAGAAATGCAGATGGACCATCCCCCGGGGTCCCCTTTGCCACACCACCCAATCTTATGGTCCAGGTCATCTGGCCTGCCGAGGGGAGAGACCTTACCTGGCACCATCTGGTGCACACCCCCCAGGAAGAAATATGTCAGGAGGGGGAAGAAGGAGGAGTAGAGACCATTGACTGCAGGAAGGTTGGCCAGCAGAGCAAATGCCATGCCTGCAGAGGACAAAGAGATTGAAGGCTTGGAGTGGGGTTGGCTTACGGGTATCTCAGAAGGATGGGTCGGGGTGGGGAGATGAACCAGGAGAGCAGCAGGCCAGGCCTGGCTGAGGGGACCCCCTCACCTTGTGGCACCTGGATGGATCCCCCGCTGAGTCCACCCAGCAGGTCTGGGATGATGTAGTCTTTGATTTTGTACTTGGGAAGCCAGGAGAGCACAGGCAGCAGCCCAAACCCCACAGCTTTGATCTTGGCTGAGGAACATCTGGAGAGAAAGAGGGCGGGTTTCCTGTCAGCTCTGTGTGGTTTGGCCACTCTGAGTTGGGGAGGGATTATGATATCTTGCTCATTTCATTCATTCATTCAAAATTCATTCCAATTTCAGATATGATACTAAGCATCCACACTGTACTGTGTGCCAGGGATACTGAGAAAAGGCAGAAATTTTCTCTCGAGAGCTTGTCAACACTCCCTGAATATTAGCTGGAGGTCTTCTGGCTGCCGGCTGCTTACCTGGGACTCAGCTTAAAGGAGTGGCTTTGATGGCGGCTCAGCCTCCTAAGGTATGGGGTCCATCTCCCAACTCAGACGGCCTTTCTCCAGGAAAGGTGCCTCTGAGTTCCTGTCTGACTGAATGCAGTCCTGAGCACCCTCATCTGGGTTCCTGCATCTCTGTGTGCATCTTGTGTTGCAGTTACTTGCTTTTGGCCTGTCTTTCTCACTAGAAAGCAAACCCACCAAGGGGAAAGTCTGCCTGTCTTGTTCATCTTTGTACACCTTGAACATCACACAGGGGTGCTTAGTAAATATTTGTTGAATAAATGAATAAATCTGAGTGAGAGCTGGCTGCTGCCATTTTTCTTAGAACTTCCCGTAGATGGAAGGCTCTATTATTCCTGCAGGGTGCCACTCTGCTGACTCACCATCCTTTATGTGTGTTAATTCCATATCGGAGTTCTTTCTCCTGCTAATTCCTTGGCGGTGGAGGGTGAAGAATGGGGTAGCTGTTCGTTGGTGAACACTGGGTGGGGGTGTTTGTTGAACGCCTCAAAGTCCTTTCATAGAAACTCAGGAGCGGTAGGAACAAGGGCCTACAAACTCAAGGGTGACAGCCGATGGATTGATGACTGGAAGTGGGTGGGAGGGGGACCGTTTGCTTTCCTTCTCCCAGTTGAGGAAACTCAAATACCCAGGGCCCATCTGGTGACTCACTGGCCTGCTCTGATTAGGCTTCCTTTCCTGCCCTGCACCAATTCCTTCTTTTTGCTCTTGTTCAATAATAGTTTCCCTGACATTGGGTCCCTTGGATGTCACCCAAGGCTGAAACCGACACAGAAAATGCTTTGTATCTTGGAAAGTCTGGGCAGACTTTCTTTCCCAACTAACACGCCATGAAACAGCACCACCATCAACATGGGACTCACAAGTCTCTTCTAGGGCTTACAGGTGCCTCTCCCATCCCTGGGATGCTGGAAGGGGAGGTGGATTGATGGTGAATCCCTTAATGTATCTCTCAAACCTTGTACTAAGGGACAGCCAGTCCTGCAGGAACTTGATCAGGTTTATTTGTGGCAGGAAGACTAGACTCCGAATAGAGAGCTGGCTAAGGAAAGGAAAACAACTGATTTGAGAGCTAGGCCATGCCCAACCTTACTTGTAAGTCTGCTGTATGTTGGACACAGCAATCTGAAGCCTGAAAGAAGAACTGGAAACAGATGCCAAGAGGGAAGTGGAGAGAGGAATTCACTTTCTTGACATTCATTCATTCAACAAATATTTATTGGAGACCTTCTCTGTGCCAGGCACTGTCACGGCTCTCATACCAGTATCATGGAACTTGTCAGTTCACTACATCCCTTTGTAGTTTTCATTGTCCTAATTTCTTAGGGCAACAGAAGACCACCTCATCCCTCCAGCATAGAAGCAACCCAAACCTCAACTCTTCTGGGCAAAGACTGGCAGGGCTCATCTGTCCGAGGAGCACAGCTGTGGGGACAGTGCCCAGAAACTGGGCACCCAAACTTGACTGTACCTGAGCAGAGATGGAGACTCCCAAGAGAAACAGGGTTGGGCTGGGGTTATTAATAAAAACTCAAGTGGGTGATTACCCCAGCCTGAACCAGTTCCACCTGCATCTCTACTTCAGTGACCTCAATCCAGGTTACTGAATCAGCTGTTTCTCCGGGGAAGCAAGGGAGAGTGAGCCAGCTCACAGCCAGGGCGAGAAGATCCACCAGGAATCTGGCAAGGGGGAGGGCAACGCTTGCAGCCTTTGGGCTCCCAAGGTGTGGGTACAGCTCACTTTGGGCAGCCCCTTCCTTGGAGGTAAGGTTTCACTGCCTACCATGGCAGTTCCAGGGCTCTGAGAGTGGAAGGAACCTGGGGACTTGTTGGACCACACCCTGCTAGGTCCCCTTCAGGAAAGTCCAGGAATTTAGGTCCTCCTTTGGGCATTCTCTGGACCAGGTGAAGGAAGGGACATCCAGGAGGAAAAGGACAAAGGGTTTGGGGTGATGGTGGCGTTAGGCTTTTTTTTGTAAGAATGGACCAGGGCATGGAGTAAGGGTTCTGATGCTTCCTCCCCCTCCATGTTGTAACATGTCCATCTATAGCAACTTTAAATGCCCAAGAGAGACTTGGGTGGACTGAGCATATGGGGAGATGCCATGCAGGGGCTCAGGGGTGCCCCACAGCCTTTCTGAACCTGTGAGTGGTTCTTGCTCCTACTCCCCGTCCTCCCTTGGGGTCTCAATACAGAGGTGGTTGCAGGATCTTAAGTTCAGCATCCAGAACCTCACTCCCCCCGGGCTTCCCTAGGTCTCGTCTTAGGGATCCTGGTGCAGAAGCCAAGCCCTGGTGCAGGAAGGATTTGGTGGGAAGCAGAGGAGAGAGGATCTGGGCTCTAAGCCACGTTACCTGAAGGCATTGCGAAGTTTCTCTCCCACTGGGTATGTCCGGTCCTTCTTCTCAAACTCATCATCGAAGAGGGTGAGAGAGTATGCGGCTCTGTCTACCACGTAGCGGGGCCTGGGCTGGTTCATGTCTGGGGCATTTGCAGGCTTTGGGAGAAGCAGAGTAGAGGAGGCTGAGGGAGCATCCCTCCCCGGTGCCAGCCCGGGCCTTCTCTCTGGTCCTCGCAGCAGCAGAGTTTTATCCTGGACTTCCCCGCCCCCACCCGGCAAGGTGCCTCCCTTCCCTCTGTCAAGTCTTTCCACCAGACTCACTTCTTTGGGTGGCCTTCCTTCCCAGACACTGATGATGCACACACTCGCCCCGGCTGTTTTGCTTGGCGCCCAGCACGTGGCTGGCACTCCACGCCTGTGATATCATCGTCACCCCCGCTGAACACCAGGCAAAGAAGAGGTGGGAGTTCAAGGGCAGGAGTCACAGCTGGATTCAGCACGTGGATCCTACTCTCCCTCCACAAGCCACGTCCCCACACCTAGACCTCAGTTTCCTTGGCAGAAAGGCCCATGCCATTCAGCTAGTCAGCTTGGAAGAAGCAGAGGAAACAATCTACTTAGAGGCAGAGGGCTAGCCGAGGTGACCTCGGGAGGACCCTTCTTGAAGAAGATGCCAAGAGCTTCATCAACAGGTTTCCTGGTGGGGTCAATGGTGTGTTTGGGGAAATCCGGATGACTTGCCTGCCAGCGCTCTCTCCCACGGCTTCCTGTGCCTAACCTTTCCCCCACCCTTGTGTACTGCTCTCCCTCTCCTCTTTACGCAACCTTGCTGACATTCCAGAAGCTGACTTGGGCAGAGCTAAGTGCTAGGGCCCCAGAGCTAAGTGCCAGAGGAGTTCCCTGTAGGAAGCTTTCCCCCTCCCTCCTCCACCTGTGGGCCCCCTTCCTGACCCCTGGCCCCAGAGCTGGGAGAAGTTGCTTGGAGGACCAAAGAGGAAGGATGGAGAAGAAAGAGATGGGGTTGACTGAGAGGGAGGATTTATTTCTGGGAGGTGGGAAGTGAGGGGTGACTGTAGCCAGTTTGGGAAAAGATTTAAGATGGCGTTGAAAACGACTAACTCTCTGGGGTTACAAATGCCCCCAGTTTCCTAGGGTAGAAGCTTGGTGAGTGAGAAGGTTATCAGAGAGGTAGAGGCTAGTTAATGCCTTCTGGAAGAGAGCGCTGGACAGATAGAGCATTCATGAAAGGTCCAGAAAACTGCCTCCTAGGTCTGATTTTATTGCTGAGGTGGAATAGGTAACATTACTTCTCCCAACTTCAGATTCCTTGTCAGTAAAATGGAGGTGACGCACCTATCTCGAAGGGTTATTGTGAAGATCAGATGAGTTTATGGATAAGAAAGATTATGTAAAGCATGATGCAAATGTGAGTTTCTATTTTTTTTTTTTTTTTTTGAGTTGGAGTCTCACTCTGTCGCCCAGACTGGAGTGCAGTGGCCGCTCCCGG